CATATGGTTCTTTTGGACGGGTTGGTTCACTCCTCCGTTAGTGACTTCTACTTCGTTCCCCTATACAGTGCCGATGATTTATGCAGAAAAAAAAGATAGCATAATTTACTTTTATGCAAAAAATAGCATAATTTATGAAACAACCTGTAGGGTTTGTTGTATACAATATGTTGGCCAAACTAGACGTACTCTGCAAACTCGCTCATGGAAAATACAGATAGATTGCCCGAAAAACAAATTCTATCCTTTACAAGCACTAACAGTTGCCTTCTCGGCATGAACTACACTGCATGGGCATCGAAATCGTGAAATGTGCTGACACAAACAAAACAAGCCTCTTTCAATCGGAGCATATCTGGATACAAATATTTAACATAGCTTAGCCATCCGGACTTAATAATAGTAATCTGGCATGTGGCAACATATCAGAACGATTGAATATTGGTCGCTAATGTTATTCTTATATGGTCAGTCGTGATCGAGCATATGAGATCAAGCGAATGGTTGATTGTTTTGACATTTTCATCAATCTGCGAACAACTGCCTCATTTCTGTTGCTATGTTTTTCAGATTTTATACCAGATGAGCGCGTACGGAATATGGAGATCAGTCATAAGTCTCTTGAGCCGGGTGAGGGTGAGGGTGAGGGTTAGTAGGAAATGCACAGAGACGGTGCTGATCTTGCCGAGGTCCGATCTGCAGTGGGAACGTCGATCCCCGACGTTCTGCTGGAATGTCATCGAAAGAAGACTCAATATTTTGTTTCATTTTGTATTTTATAATTCGACTGGGGAGAAGAGAAAGTAAGGCGAGAAATTCGCCTTTGCATCTCCCATGGGAGATGAACAACCCTGGTCATAACCCAAGAAGCTTGGGGTAGATGGGCCTACATACGCGACGCAATGGCGCCTTCACACATAAGTCAAAATTAGGCATATGTGAGGCCTAAATTAAAATTTGCGAGATCAGATGCAAATGCTCTAAAGAGAAAAAATACAAAGTGCAATGTGACAGAGAGTAACCATAACAAAAAATAAATGTCCAACGCAGGGCTGCCCTTTCGAAGATGCGTTTTATGCATAGTTCCCCGAAGTTTTTATCGCTACCGGCAACGGTTTTTCCGGCAAATGCTTCCAGCTAAACAAATTACGATTGGCTGCCAGAACTAACAGGAAACACCCCTTTAATATTTCAGCTTTTTAGCTTTCCTGGCTACTGAGTTAGCAACTTACTCGAAAAAAACTTTCACAGGTCCGTACGTGGGTACCACGCATACCCGATATCTGGGTTTGAGCTCGCTGAGACTTACGTGGACGAGGAATATCCTCTTAAAATCACAGTCTTCGAGCTTTTCAAGCTCTCGAGTTAACAACTTACCGGAGAACTTTAGTGAGCCCGTGCGTAGGTATCACGCATACCCGAGAGCTGGGTTTGAACTCATTAATACCTACTTGGACGGGAACATCCCCTTAAAATTTCAGCCTTCTAGCTTTTTAGACTCCCGAATTAAAAACTCACCGAATTAAAAACTTTGGTGGGCCCGTACTTGGGTGCCACGTGGGTAAAAGCACCCATTTCGGAGAAGAGAACCCGTACACGCATGCAGACTAAGTTCCCCAAGTTCCAGCCCCGTAACTTTTGTGAGTCTCGAGATGAAAAATCGGTACAGACGTGTAGCGCGCGCACACACATACACACACACACACATACAGAAAACTTCTTGTCAATATGCATTTTCTGCATTGCATAGTTGCAAAAAGTGCACAATAAATTCAATGTGAAATGAGCTTTTAAACAATTTCCCATTAGCGAAAGTTGATAAAGTTCGCCATTCTTTTTGAAGTGAGCTGAAGTGG